AAAAAAAATCTAATACAATGTGGTTAATATTAATTTGTGATTTTTTTTTTTTAGGCAGTTGGGGTTAAGTGACTTGCCCAGGGTCATACAGCTAGTGTCAAGTGTTTGTTCTGAGGCCGGATTTGAACTCAGGTTCTCCTGACTTCAGGGCTGATTCTCTATCCACTAGGCCATCTAGCTGCCCCCAACTTATCCTTTTCTAAGTCAGTACACAGCCACCAGGGATCTGTTTCTATCTGAGTCTGACAACATTGCTTTACGGCATCTCAGAACAAAGTACTAGGGACCTTGGAGGCCCTAGAGGTACCCTCGCTAGGTACTTATACTTTCCCAGACTGGACTCTGTCCTGTTGCAGGAATCATTACTACCCCCTAGGACTCCAGGGATATGCCCTCACTATGGGTTTCTGATGCCCCTGGGGCTTTCTGGCCCTTAACCCTGGGACTTTCTCAGAAAAGCTGTCTGGTCTTACATTGGCTGGACACAGAGCCCTGAAGGATATCTGACCCATTTCTATTGGCTTATTTGCTTGATCTGGCATCACTTTGCTGGTGGCCCCCTTTCCTTTTGCTTGTGGGCTTGTGGCTGACTTTTTATATAGATCTGGGACATAAGAAGTCACTACGGTTTCTTTTTTTTTAATTTTTAAAATATTTTTATTGACATGTTCTTCTTTTTATCATCTAGTTATCACCAGCATCTTTCCCTGAGAGCCATCCCATATAACAAATAATATTTTTTAAAGACCAAAAAAGAAAAAGAAGGAAGCACCATATTCCCTAATTTTATAACGTATATCAAACAAAGCTCACCTTTCCCCTCCTTATCTATCATAAACTCTAAGATGACACGGTCATTTCTTTCCATTTCTGTTTCAATAATAGGTTCTCCTCATTAAACTGGGCTCTAAAAGATGTATTCAATAGGTGAAAACAAGAAGGGAAGGACATTTCAATTACAGGGTGGGGCAGAGAATAGTCCAGTTTGGTTGGAGAACAGAGTTTGAAAAGGAGAGTAATATCTGTTTAACTGGAAAGGTAAGATGGTGCCAGGTCATAGAGGGTCTTGAATGCTAGGCAAAAGAATATGAATTTAACTCAATAGGAAAGAGGAAGTCACTAAAGATTTCTGAGCAGAGGAACTCAATTGAATCTATGCATAAAGTTTTTTGTGGCTGCTGTACGATGGATGGATTGGAGGGGGCAGAGAGTGGATGAAAGAAAAACTCTTAGGAGGCTATTATAAGTAAGTATACAGTTCAGTGGTAAGTGGGGTGAGGTGCTATATTAAGGTGATGGCAATGGAAATGGAGAGGAGATGGGTTCAAGAGATTTCAGAAGTAAAATCAATCAAGTTTGGTCATTGTCTGGATGTGAATGGTTAAAAAGAAAGAGGAATCAAAGATAGTTTTAAGGTTATCTTAAGGCAGTGGTTTCCAAAGTGTATATAACAACACCTCCCTCTTTTTGTATAAAAAATGCCATGCTACCCCAATTTTTCATAAAATAATTTATACTAGTTTCAGCAACTCATTTTTTGTAACATGACTATTGTAACATAATATTGACTTAGGCGCTGTTCTCTCAAGGTTAGGCTTATTGCATCTTTCCACTCCCTCAACATTCTCCAGTACTCTCACAATTTGGGAGTCTTTTTTCTCTGCCATCAGCTTGAGCCTTCATTGGCTGTGTTCTCCCCATTTTTAAGGTGCCAATGACTAGCACCCCAGCTCCATTTAACCACAACATCAGATAGCTTTTACAAAGCAATATTTACTTCAAAGATATAGCAAGAACAAATGTACAAACATTTCCCACAATTTAGTTTAGTTCTTACAATGGCATTAGTCCCACTATGTTCAGGTCCAATGCTAGCACCTGAATTCTACTGGGCTGGAGGCCCCCACTCTTGGTCCTCAGCTTCCCATTGCTGGGTGGACTGCAACACCCGGCCTGGATTCCTGGATTCTCAGATCTTTGTGGTTTTGCTCCTGGCCCAGACTGAAGACACCACGCTAATAAATGAACCATATGGCCTTGGGCAAGAGGTGTTGGAAGCTGGGAGGGAGGCCAGGGCCTTCCCCCTTACACCTTGGCTCTGACACAGGCAGCCATTGGTGAAGGAGTCACTTTGCTCCAGAGGTGTGTGCTAGAGGCAGCTCTAACTTGCTTACAAGATCTGATTGTTATATTTTCTGTGTGAGCATTCACACTTCAGGAATCTGTACAAATCTGGGTTTGAGCTATTGTTTTATGGATTTTCTAGACTTAAGAAAGTGTTAATAATACAGAATAAACTTAAAACTGTAAGGGCATACATCCTCCTGACTTCTGTTAAATATTTCCCAGCACACTCTTATATTGCTCTATAAACCTTGCTTGAGCTCAACAGGAGGGCAGTAGTAGTCTCAGGGAATGAGGTTATCACCTGACTAAAGGCCTGGTGATTGGAACACATTGGAACACAGAAATAACAACGAAGAATAAGAACAAGCATGTACATATCAGGTTTGATTTTTTTTTTTTTGGCGAGGCAATTGGGGTTAAATGACTTGCCCAGAGTTACACAGCTAGTGAGTGTTATGTGTCTGAGGCCACATTTGAACTCAGGTCCTCCTGACTCCAGGGCCAGTACTCTGTCCACTTGGCCACCTAGCTGCCCCCTACATATCATTTTAAGATATTTGCTCTACATCTAATTATCTCACTTAAGCATTACAACACCCCAGACTTTCTCCCTCAGATAGGAACTCCGTCAAAGTCCTGGCCCATGCAGACTCAGGTCATTTGTAAGGCAGCTTCCTAGCCAATGAAAAAAGGCTCCTCCCAGCCACGTGGGAAGCCAACCATGAACCTCCAGGCTTCATGATTCTTTGATGTCTGTACATGTGCTAGATTGCCATTTCATCTATTTAAATAAGGTGAAGGGGGCAGCTATGTGGTGCAGTTGATAGAGCACTGGCCCTGGAATCAGGAGGAGCTGAGTTCCAATCTGGCCTCAGACACTCACTAGCTGTGTGACTCTGGGCAAGTCACTTAACCCTATTGCCTAGCCAAAAATAAATAAATAAATAAGGTGAAGAACTTATTATAATTTTAGAATAAAGCAAATTATAATCCTAAAATAATGTAAATAATTCCTCTACTGCATCCACTGGATACAGGCATATAATACCATAGATTTAGAGCTGAAAGGGAACTTGAAGATCATCTTTTTCAATCCCGCCATTTTACAGTCAAGGAACCTGAGGCCCAAAGGGATTGATTGACTACCTAAGGTCACACCAGTAGGAAGTGGGAGAGCCAACATTTGAATTGAGTTTTTCTGACTTCAAATCCAGCAATCTTCCCACTGTACAATGCAAAGAGAGAAACAGGGCAGCAGGTGCTGTTCCCTCTCTACCCCCAATCTTTAAACCTTCCCACTGAGATGCAGTAGGATAAGGAATGGCACATGGGCATGGGGTTGCTCCATCTTTGAGTGGGCTCTGTTAGGGCCTAGGCTATCTGGTACCCATTCTAGGCCTGGCACTGGTCCTGATCTGGCCCCAGGAACTACCTTTACCTTGGGGTGGGAATGGAGGGTCTGGGATTAAAGCAGGGAAGAGTAGCATTGGAATGTCCCATAGAGCAGCTACCAGGCCCCTGTGAACCCCAGTGTCCATAGTGGGGGAAGGGGTCTGGCTCAAGCAACTGAAATGTGGGGTTGGTGATGCCCTTCTGATTATTATCAGGGAACATCTCTCCATAAGTGCCTACTCTGCTTCTAGTGGAGGATTGCAGTCCTTTCACTCTATAGCCGGAGCATACAGAGAGCAAGAAGACAAAATAGCTGCCAGGGTAAAGTGAGTAAAGGAGGGGTTTGGGGGTGGGAGAGGTGAGGGAGGGTTGGCACTCCTATAGAGTAGGGTTGAATTGGACACCTGCAGCCCAGTGATGGAAGTTCCATTTTTGCCACCCTCTAGCTACTGGGTTGGAAGGGATGCACTGTGTTAACCTTCCTTGGTTTTTATTTAAATTTTATTCTTATTGGAAAAAAAGAGAAGAAAATGACTTGCCCAAGATGGCAAGGAAATACCTTGACACTTGAAAGCCCTATATAAGCTGGCTCCAACCTATCTTTCTTACTTTAAAATGTTTCATGAATGCAAGCTATGATGACGATGCTGACACCCCTCCCCACAACTGAAAGTGATCACTCCTTTCTCATAAAGTACTTTGGGTGCATTCCTTCTTTCCCCCTTAGACATTCTAATTTGCACCATACTTATTTTTGTATAAGTAGAATCTCTTGTCACTATTTGACTGAGGACAGGGATATTACGGAGTTATTTTTTCCCCTCTTTTATAACCCTAGCACCTAATTCAGTGCCTGTAGGAACTTAATGTTTGCTGAATTGAATTAAATTGCCCTAATCACAAACTTTATTTGCTGAACCCTAAATTGGAATGTAAGATATGTAGGAATTTAAACATATATTAATCTAAGTAATCATGGAGTTATTCAAGGCAAAATAATTAGTTCTGGGAAAATATAAGAACAAGAGGAAACACACAGCCGCATAATAGTTAGCTCTATTGCCTTAAATTAGTAATTGCACAGAGGTAGAGTTCCAGGGGAATCGAAACGTCATAAACTAATCGCTCTCCTTCCCAAACTTAGCCTCTCACGTCTATTTCTCATGCGCTCATTTCTGTTTAGCAAACAAATTAATCTCTGTTTTGTACATACCCTAATCAGATTTATGCTCTCTAGGGGTTTCACACCAACATAAACAGTATTCTTTGTTTTATATTCATCATTGTTTTATACATTCTTTAATCAGGGATCTAAAAAAAAAAAGGCAAACGTACTGAGTTCCATTTCATATAAAAACAAACATTCTCTAACAAGCTTTCTCGTTTTTAATACATGTCCGCTTCCTGTCCCTCATCCCCCTCCTCCCTCCCGTTTCCCTTGCCCCTCCCTCTTTCCAGCCTGCTCCCTCCCACTTCCCCCTCCCCCATTCCCTCCGGTCCTGATGGGGGGGGGGCCCGCTGTGAAGCACAGCCCCCCCCACCCCCATGGCCACCCGTAGGAGCCAGAGGCGGAAAGGGAGAAGGGGGGAGCTGGGCACCGCCCTGCTACCCACCCTGGTCCTGGCCCTGGGCCTCTCTCTTGCCTGTTTCGGCCTCCTGCTAGTGGTTATCAGCTTGGGGACCCAGGCATCCCCATTCTCCCAGGTGAGATCCCCTTTTGCCCTGGAAATAGAGGAGTACTTGGAAGGGCCAGAGTGAGAATACTAGACAGAAGAACTGGTCGAAGAGACAGAGGAGGAAAATGAGGCACCAAACTTAGTTAGAAGGAAATGAGGAGCCAAGGGGTGAGGAATCAGGTGGAGAAGGGAGAGGGTTTGTTTCCCATGTAATGTCCTCCCCTGTTCCCCTCTATAGGACCCAGCCCAGCAAGAGATGGTGGAGGAGAAGGAGGCTGAGGCAGTGATGGTGAGTATGTTTATTTGTGTGAGATGTATCTCCCTGTCTGTCATTATTTGTTCTATTTCTTTTCCTGTCTCTCTGTGACTCATTTTGAGTGTCTCTGCAGCCTTGAATCTGGTTTAAGAGCAGAACAATCCTGGATTCCTAAGAGGCACACACTTATGGATCCTGGAAAGGGAGTAAAGCCTGGGAACAGCCCCAGTCTACTCTTTACCCCAAGCCATATTTTTAAAAAATGTGGTGAAAGACTAAGGCTTTCCTAAAGTTGAAATATCCTAGGGGAACCATGGTGCTAAGTCCAGGCTCACTTTCTGAATGACCTTTGGGAAGTCATTTTTCCACTCTTGGCCTCAGTGTGCTCATCTGTAAAATGAGCTGTTTGGATTAGATGTCTCCCTTTCTCCAACAGCTTTGAAATTCTGTTGCTATGTTTGCCCCTGACTTTATCTCTAATTATCTCTACACGCAGCCACAAACTTTGTAGGTTTCTCTCCTACTGTCACTTTTTCTTAATCTGTGTATCTCTTTAGTTTGATATTGGGCTGGGGCTATATAGGCCAAGGTTCTGGTTCAAATCTGCACTTACTCTCCCCAGCAAATGATTTCCCAAAGCCAGAATGTAGCTCCTACCCTGAAGAGAAGAGTACGCTTTCCCCGTGGTAAGTGTTTCGCCATTCCACCCTTACTTTGTACCAGAGTTCAACCACAAACGAGATATGGAGGTGGTAGCAAAGATTATATATGGAGAGAGGAACAGTGTGTCCTGAGAAGGGAATAGGGGCTGGTGAAAAGGATAAGAACTGGCTGGGCCTGGGGTGAAGGTCTAAACTCCAGAAAGATAGTAGAGCCTGGGGAAATCAGAGCTGTGGGCACCCAGAAAGAATGCCTTTGCTCATCTGTCTTTTCTTTATTTTTAGCTGTGAAGGGTCATAAAGCTCGAACTCGAAAAGTGAATGCAGCCCACTATGAAGGTGAGATAGGAACAGTGAGAAGGGCATGCCTGAGTTGGTAGTAGTATTGGGAAAACAGAATCAAGAACTCTCCTCCTTAAATAACAATATCCCTGTGTTTTGTAGTTCGTGCAAAAGCAGGGCTGGATGGAGCTCAGGCTGGTAAGTGATGGACTCCACTTTCTGTGCTGTTTCTGGAAGTTATACAGGATCAATCTCCTTCAGCTTTTGGCTTTCTGCCCAATTCCCCCAACCTCTTAGCCTCTGCTCCTTGATGGAAGGCCTTGAATGTCAGGCTTTATAGTTTACAGTAGAGTAATGGCCATAGAAATGGAAGGGATGGACAAATGGGGGTGGGAGTGGGGGAGGGAGTGATGGGTCAGAAATTGATAAAGGGTTGTAGATACTGAATTCCCAAAAGGGAGTGGGGACTCCTTTTGCCTGTCCATATCTCCTTTATTTTTAAGACTTAGAAAGTGATTGGCTGTAGGATGAAGGTACCTCCAAGGTTTTGACTAGTAACTAGGAGAATAGTGGTGCTAATAGAGAAGTCAAAAGAAGCTGGTTTGTGGGAGATCAGATCATACTGGGACACACTGATTTTTGAGGTCCTGGCTAGATATCTAGGCAGAGATATTCAGCAGATAGTTGGAAATTCAGTTCTAGGGTTTAGAAATGAGGTTAGGCTGGAGACACCAATTTATAAATCATTTACATAAAGCTTATTGTGCTGTAAGAAATGATGAAAGGGATGGTTTCAGAAAAACCTGAGAAGACTTTATGAACTGGTGCAAAGTGAAGTGAGCAGAACCAGAACACTGTGTAAAGATAATCAACTTTGAAGACTGTAACTCTGATGGGGGTGGGGTGGGAAGAGACTAAGCATAAACAACACAGTGACTAAACCACAATTCCAGAAGACTCAAGGTCAAACATGCTATCCACTTCCATCCAGATAAAGAGCTGATGGATTCAGAGTACAGACTGAAGCCTATTTTCTCTTTCTGTTTTTAGCTAATGTGGTAATTTGTTTTACGTGACTATACATATTTATAAGGGGTCTTGTTTTTCTTGCTTTCTCCATGGGTCAGAGAGGGGAGGAGTAAGGGAGAGAATTTGGAACTGAAAATGAAATTATTGGAAGAAAAAAGAATGAATGAGATTTCAGAAGGACAGAAGGAGAAAAGAAAAAAGTCAAGGACAAAACCTGAGGGAATATCTACTTGTAGGAGAAATCATTAAAGGAAATTGAAAGAAATTGAAAGAAACAGAAATCAGAGCTCACTGAAAGTAAGATAAGAACTATGGTAGAAGTATCTTAGAAACCAAGAAAGGAGACAACTTTAAGAGGGAGATAATGTCAAGTGCTATAAACAAAGACTGAAAAAAGTCCATTGGACTTGGTGATTAGGTGATCACTAGAGGAGTCACTTGGAGAGAACATTTTGAGTGGAGCAATGGGTGGTGAATGCCAAATTGTAAAGGGTTTAAAAAAAAAAGTAAAAGGGTAGTGAGGAAATTAAAGCACTGAATGCAGACTACTCTTTCTAGAAGTTTGATAGTGAAAGGAGGGAGTATAAGACCATATTTTGAAGGGATAACAAAGTCAAGGAAAATCTAATGATAAGGGAGACTTGAGAATGTTTGTAGGCAGAATGGAAGTAACCAGTCAAGAGAGAGACTGAAATACACGACAGAAGACATAATAGGTCCCAGAAGAAGCAGGAGGGGACAGGAGGATACAAGAACATAGGTGAAAGTTAAATTTGACAAAACGAAGGGATACTTTTGCATCGTTGACATAAAGGGAGAGATGATAAAGTAGAGTGGAGAGGAGAGAAGGGGAGAGGGTATATGAAGTCAAAAGATATTCTTTGGAGTTTGTACCTTGTGCAGTGGGTACCCTCTAGGTAGGGAGGCAAGTAAAGCCAGAATAAGGATGATAGACTGGGAAAATAAGGAGCCAGGGAGAGAATGGAAGTCAAAAAGAAGACAAAAAACTTGCTTAAGAGTAGTATGGGAACAGAAGAAATGTGGTCAGAGAAAGGAATTTCACTTTTCAAGACTTTTCATCCCTCCATATCTAGTTAGTCACCTGTTGAGTTTTGTTTTATTTATGTCCTTTCCTCTCTACTGTCCCAACTCACTTTCATCATGTCCCGTCTTTCCTCAGGATCTTTTGCTGCCTCCTCATTCCCCACTGAAATAAGTGGGGAACACAGGCAACTCCTTTGCCTGTGTTTCTAACCTTATTTCTCAATAGAAATCCTTCCCTCTAATCAGGCCACAAGTACATCTCCTACACTCTTGTTTAGCCAATTCTCACCTATTATTCAAAGTCTAACTCAAATTCGACCTCTTCCACAAAGCCTTTCTTGTTTATTTCAACCCACTTTGATCTCTGTGTAGACATTTATAATCTATACCACAACATTTAGCACTTAATTATATATCATCTTCATTTTTATGGGGGAGGGGGAATGGTGATAGCCTTATCTTCTCAATTAGTTTATAAGTTCCTAGAAGGTAGGGACTGTCTTGTCATTATTTTGTAGACCTAGCAAGTGCTGAGCATATAGATAGAAAACAAGTCATCCAAGTGAATATGTCCAGTAGACAACTGTCAGTACAAGAATGGAATTCAGGAATGTTATTAAGGCTAGAGATATAGATTTGGGAGTCATTTATATGGAGATGATAATTGAGGTTATGGAATCTGAAGAGATCACCAAGAGAGTTTATACAGAGAAGCCCTAAGCCAGAAAGTGCAGAGGGACTCAGTGTTAGTGAGTGGGAGATGCAGATGATCTGGTGATCCAACAGATAGGAAGAAAATTAGGAGAGAATAATTTCACAGAAGCCTAGGGAGGAGTGAGTATATAGGAAGAGTGGAGAAGGAACTATATTAAAAGCTACAGAGAGGTTAAGCAGGATGAAGCCATCAGATTTTGCAACCGAGAGATCATTGGCAACTATCAACCTCGACTCCGTGGTCCAACCCAGGAATGCATAGAGGAGCCTCTCCGACAACTGCCCCACTCCCCACTGGAGTCCTACAGATATCCTGAAAGAGACAGGCCAAAGAAGCAGGTCAAAAAGAGGGCAGAGCACATCCCCCTGCCACCTATGGGGCAGTCTCAGCACTTCCTGCCAGAGCTCCCAGAGCTCCAGCCCAGCCAAACCCCAGAGAGACTTTGGAGAGTTTCCTTCAAAGGTAGTTCCCTTAAATGTAAAGTTAGTGAGAGGAGGGGGCTCATGGCTGATGATATTGTTTTTTTCCAGTAAAGTAGGATGGGAAGTTCTTTGCTCAGAGACATGAAGGGGGCTTGAGGAGAGAAGGTTTGGAATAGCCCCTTTGGGAAGTGTGACAGAGAGTCAACTGGGGAAGAATAAAAACTGCCATGAAGCAGTGAGAGTACAGGTGAGATGAAATAACATGAACTTGTATTGGGTCCAGCTGGCACTGTTTTGTGACTTCCTCTAACAGGATTCAGCAGCACTCAAGTAGAGAAAATGATTGGTAAAACCCCAAGACTGGGGTTTGGTAAGGTCTGAACAGCAACCGGCTGGGGTGCTAAGGGATTCCAGAGTGGATAATAACACATACTTAAGTTGGTCAACCACATATCACATCTGAAAAAAGAGGAAAATGAAGCCAGAGCAGGGGTGAGAGACTAGCAGAACAGGATGGAGTGAAGGGAATAGAGGTCATAGTAAGTACAAAGGACAGATTTAAAAGAAGTGGAGTAGGGGTTAAGATGGAAGAATAGGAGCTTATGATTAGAGAAAAAAATTTCAAAGTTCAAGGTCAAGGAGGGTGGATGGCTAAGGTGAAGGTAGGTAACGGGAGCTAACAAAGTTGATGAAATAGCATACCAAGATGTTAAAGGGAACACCACTGAAGTCCCAAAGTCGGAGAGCCAGGTTTTAGGTGGAAGGGAAGACTGTGGACCAGGTACTGAACTTCTTGAGAAAGGAAGAATGATCTGAAGATAGACTACCAATAATTGGAACAAGGAATTATTTCAGGTAATAGAGGTGAAAGGCATAAACTTCAAAGAAGAAGAAGTTGCTGAATGATGGTGGCAAGAGAATGGTCTGGAAGTAGCAGTGAGGAGCAAGGAGAAGATCAATCTTCCTCCAGGTCCATGGTGTTAAGGGGCATGAGAGAAGGAAATGGAGAGGGTACTGGAGAGGGTTGCCAATGACATACAATGGGGCAGCTAGCTGGTGCAGCAGATAGACTCTTGGGCCTGGAGTCCCAAAGATACATCTTCCTGAGTTCAAATCTGGACTTGGACACTTATTAGTTGTGTGGCCCCAGGCAAGTCACTCAACCCTGTTTACCTCATTTTCTTCATCTGTAAAATGAGCTGCAGAAGAAAAGGGCAAACCACTCTTACTATCTTTGCCAAGAAAACCCCAAATGGGGTCAGGAAGAGTTGGACGTGACTGAAAATGAATGAACAACTAATAACAAACATATAGCACCTTAAGATTTACAAAGCACTTTGCATATTTAACCTCATTTGGCTCTTTCCACTGTGCCCCAGCCTTTGCACGAATTATTTAATAAAGACTGCTGTATTGAGTACTGGACAAAGACATTCTTGCCATTTTGATTTGGTGAAATGATCTGCCTCTTGAAAACACACACACAACAATTGGAATTACTTTATTTATACATAATTACCATTATGTCACTCAGGAATCCATAGTGGTTTCTCATGAGCCCGCTGTTCCAGCTTGGTAGATCTTTTAGGTTGCCCTTTGACATGCCATTCTTGTTCCAACTTTAAACTTTTTCTCATGCTTTTCTCCTACCTAGGTTGCCTTCCTTCCCTTTTCCTTCTTCTCATCCATCCTTCAAAGCCCAACTCAAATCCTAACTCCTCTGGATCCTTCCACTAGAGGCCTTCAACATAAATGTTGATTTTGCCTCAAATAACCTAACTTCCCAGTCACATTGCTTTATAAATATTATCTCATTTTATCCATATAACGATCTTGGGAGGTAGGTGCTATTATTATTATCATCATCCTCATTTTACAGATGAGAAAACTGAGGCCAGGATCACACACTAGCAAGTATGTGAGAGTAAATTGAACTCAGGTCTTCTTGACTCCAGGTCCATGGCTGTATCCACTGCTCACTTCAACAACTGGCCAGGTGGTATAGTAGATAGAGTTCCATATTCTACTACTTCTACTTCCTCATTCTACTCAATTCCCATGACCTACTCCTCCACTCCACCTCATTTACCCTATATACCCTTGATCTATGTACCCATAAATGTTCTACTTCCATGTTCATGAACACCTTGTTTTTTTCAATCATTCTATCTTTTCTTATATTTTAAGACTACTAATCCTATTGTTTATCCCTTATCAGGACCTCCACCCTTCATTATTCTCCCAGGCCATTATCCCTACATTGGCTATAATCTTCCCAATTTCAACCCCTTGGTGAACCAGTTTAACCCTACACTATCCTTTTTTCTCAAATCCCTTGCACCCTTGTCCTACTGCCTATCATGTCTTGCCAAACCCCAACCCTTGATTATTTCTAACATTTGCCTCCTTTGTTTTTAATCATGTATTATTGAAAAAATCATGAAACTACACTGATTGAGTCTACCACAAATTTGTTATCTGACCCCAGCTGGACCCTCACTGTAGCAAAGTAATCCTACTTCTCCCTAATCAGTTCTCTAGCCCACTCCTAACAGCGGCTGTTACAAACCTTCTTGTTTGAAGAAGGCTCTCCTTGAGCTTCCCACAGCACACTTTTCTACCATCCTTTCAGCTGAGAACCTCAACTCATACTTCATTGAGAAAACTGAGGCCTTCCCCTGAGAGTTCCCACTTTTCCTCATTTCATTTCATTTCACATCACTATGACATCATTCCTTCACTGTCTCTGAGGAAGAGATGGCCTCTCTCTTGGCCAATTCCAATCTGTCAAGACGCACCCTTGATAATATCCCCTCTTGTCTTCAGCAGATGGCCCCTACTATCACCTCTACTTTCTCTCTAATCTTTCATTTTTATTAGTAGATCAGTAGAAGGAATCAGTAGATTCCTTCCCTTCTGCCCACAAACATGCCTATGTCTACCCCATCCGTAAAAAAACCCCAAAACCTTGATTGATTCTACCATCCCTGCTAGTTATTTTTTCTCTCCTTACATTTTCAGCTATACTCATGGAAAAAACTTTGTACTCTGTGCTTCCATTTCCATCTTTTCATTTTCTTATAAGCCTTCCTTGATCTAGCTTCTGATATCATCATTTCACTGAAAGTTCTCTTTCTCAGAAGTTACAAATGATCCCTTAATTGACAAATCCAATGGTCTTTTCTCAATCCTCATCCTTCTTGACCTCTCCGCAGCGTTTGACACTGGTTCTCACCTTCTCCTCCTAGGTACTCTTTCCTCCCTGGGTTTTCATCACATTGTGCTTTCTTGGTTCTCCTACCTGCCTATTCATTCCCCAAACTCCTTTGCAGGATCTTCATCCCAATCAAACCAACTAACTGTATATGTTCCTCAAAACTCTGTCCTGGGACCTTTCATTCTCTCCATACTGTGTCACTTAAAGATTTTATAAGTTCCCATGGGTTCAGTTATTATCTCTATGCAGATGATTCTATGTAGATCTATATATCTAGCCTTAGTGTCTCTCCTGAGCTCCAGTTCCATATCACCAACTGCCTAGTGGGCCTTTCAAACTGGTTATCCCATAGTTATATCAAACTCAACATAATCAAAACTGGCTCATTTTCTTTATAATGTTACTGTCCTTGTATAAGTTGTTCTTTTGGTTCTCTCTTCATTTTGCATTAGTTCATAGAGGACTCAGTTTCCTTTGAAATGGTTTGTCATTTCTTACAGCACAATGATATTCCATCACATTTAAATGCCCATAATTTGTTTAGACATTCATTCACTAATAAGTGGGCACCCCCTTGGTTTCCAGTTTGGGGCTGCTATGAAGAAAGCTGCTATATTTTTGTACACAAGGGCACTTTTCAATTTCTTTATTTGTATTACCCATAGCACATTGTGAAATAAATATCTCTGAAAACTGTCCTTTGTGTTCAATCCAAACACTTTAGTCCAACCTTCAAGATCCTACCACAAAATGGCTCATCACCCCAATTCCTCCTCTTTTTCTGTTGTTCCCCTCCTTCAAAACCCAGTTTAAAACTCACCTTCTCCAAGAAACTTTCCCTGATTAGCTTCATTTTTGGTAATTTTTTTCTGTTGCTACATATTCATCTTGCATTAAAATTATACTATTTTGTCCTTGCTGGTACAGTGGTGTTTGTCATTTTTTCCCACATGTTTCCACTTCCCAACTATGGAGTAAGTTCTACAAAGAACAGGAATGTTCTTGAGATTCCAAGAGTGAAGATTTTTGTATGGAATCTTCTATTTCTTTTCACATAGGTCTCTGCATATTATGGACTGAAGCTTATCAATTATAATTGGGGGTATAAGAGAAAGATGGAGAAGCCTATGAAAGGATCCTCTCTCTCCTCCCCCAACCCACCAAGTTTGTACCTTTATCCAGGTATGGATGGGACAGTGAGTGGCTGGGAGGAGGCCAAGATCAACAGCACCAATCCACTGAGTTATGATGCCAAGAATGCAGAATTTACAGTTACCAGGGCTGGCCTCTACTACCTGTACTGTCAGGTGAGATCCCTGAGGGGAACCAAAACTTAAGGTTGGAAACGATGGGCAGGGGAGGGAAGGAAGAAGCCAAAGGCAGAAGAAGAGTGGAGGCTTGGGAAATACATAGTGCCCAAGTGGCTAGAATGCTGGGGTGGGGATAGAGCTAATGGGGAGCTGAAGGTCTAGATTCCACCTGCACTCTTTTGCCCTCTTCTGTCCCCTCTCCTAGGTACACTTTGATGAGGGGAAGGCCGTATACCTGAAGCTGGACTTGCTTGTGGATGGTTCCTTGGCTCTGCGCTGCCTGGAAGAGTTCTCAGCCACAGCAGCCAGCTCCCCAGGCCCCCAACTCAGGCTCTGCCAGGTGTCAGGGCTACTGCTCCTACGGCCAGGAGTCTCCCTGAAGATCCGGACTCTCCCCTTGGCACACCTCAAGGCTGCCCCCTTCCTTACCTACTTTGGACTCTTCCAAGTGCAATGATGCACCTTAACGACAAAACTGCAGACAAAGCTCTGTCCATCCTTCTTCTCGCTCCTCCCCCAAATAACACTGTTTCTCCCTTTTATCAGGCCCTACAACTTTGTCTTTCCCTCCCCCAGTTCCTCGCAGCAGTGCTCCTCCTAACCCTAACTTCTTGTAACTCAGATCCTCCCATCTCCAGGCTTTCATGAATTAATTTGCTCCTATCTCCTTATCAGTTACCCCCAAAGCACTCTCAATATTTGTTCTACCACGTTTTCCCCCCTCTCCATGACCGCTTTCCCTCCATACCCCTACTGCTCAGTTCTGGTCCTCAGTTACCCCACTAACTTTAACTGTTCCCCCTGCCCCCCACCCTCCCATACTCCTACCACTCAGTTCCAGTCCTGGGTCCCTCAATCTTCTATCCTGCTTTGCCTTCCTTGTGGAAGCAATGTGTTTGGAAAATCCTAAATGCCTGGATGGGGCCCTGGAAGACCTACTTCTCATGCAGGGGTATTGGACCTGAAAAGCAGAGAGACTGGGGTGGGGTTTGGGGAAGCTAAGGAGACTTGTGGGGAGGTAGGGTGGGTTCCAAAATTGAGGGGTAGAAGACAAAGATTATTCTCTTCCCTGCTAAAATCCCTGTGGATTTTTAAAAAGATATTTTTATTATTATTGAAATGAATTGTTGGTAATGGATATTAAAAAGGTAAAGTGACAGCCTCTGTTTGATAGGGTAGGGGTGGGAGGGGAGGTTTAGGGACCAGAGGAGTACTTGAAGGGAATGAGGGTTGGAGGAGAATTGGGTGCTTTGGAGGGAGGAGGGAGGACATACAGATTCCTGAAGGTTGAAGGGGTTGGAAGAGGTGTAGGTCGTTCTAAGTCCCAGAAGCAGAAACCGTGTGGCCTGAAGTGAGGATCATAGGACTTAGAGTTAGAAGGGGCCTTATAGACCATCTAGTGCAATCCCTTAATTTTATAAGTGAAACCAGAAAGGACAGTGACTTTCTAGACTCACACAGGGAATAAATGACAGAAACAGTATTTGAACCCAGGTCTTCCAACTCTAAATCCAGAGCACTTTCCATTACACAGAACCCAAACTATAAGAGAGAAGTTAGTCCTCTGACCAAGGTACAGCAGAACTTTGCTTCATTTACCTATTAAGCCTGTTTCCTTCTGGAGGGGGAATCCCTTGAGATAGGTGGGGCAGGACTTCCTCCTGGCAGCCTCTACTACACGCAACAGGTGTGGGCACAGGGAGGAGAGTGAGATATGACTGAGTGTTTTGGTTTCAGAACAGGGATAGGTGGGGGTAGGGTGGGGTGGGGGGACTCAAGCCAACAAACGAGATGCCCTGGGAGGGCACTTGGGAAGACTGATCACCTTGTCCAGAGGAGGGAGAATTTGGTTGGACTATTTCAATGTCGATTCTTTCTGGTAACCTCTTGTAAGAAGTTTTCTCTGGAAACAGGAAGTCAGTTGCTTGCCAAGTTCAGCACAGGGAGTAACAGGACATGTTCCAACACACCCCAGTCCTAGCTATAACCCCAGAGCTTGGGCCAATTTATTGCTTCCAAGTCCTGACCTCCTCCCTCCCCCATCATCCTCCAGTGTTAAACTTATCCCCACCTAATCTCTTCCCCCTGACCCATAAAAGCTGTTTTCCCATTGCTCAAATAAGGGATTCCATCCATCCACAAAACTCTCCTCTCTAACTCTAAGTCTCCCTCCCCCATCTCTGGGGCTGCCCCCACCCCCTCTGTCCCTCCCCTTCAGTCCATTTTCCCTGGGTATTGCTGTGTGATGAGTCTGTCGGCAGCCATCCTTTCATTGCCTGGGAGACTGAAACCCATTCTTTCTTCTCTTGGGGATGTGAAGGAGGTGTGTGGGGGGGTGGATCTTGAGGTGATCAGTAGGTCCAATTTTGGGGGCACCTGAGAAATAGGACGATATCTTCTTTCCTCCTCCCTCTTCTCAAGTTCCCTTTTACTTTTCCCTTGCGTAACTTTCTTCCTCCTTTCTATCTCTCCCCGCCACCTCCACCACCCTCTGTTGTGACACACAGCTGCTAGCAGGGTCCTCAGGCTAGTCATGTCTCCTGCTTTGCTATCTCCCAGGCTCCCCCCTGGGCAAATAGGGGGTCCAAGCCGGGACCCAGCACTCTCGGTTTCCCTTTGGTTGAGTTGGGGGACAGCCCTGGGGGTGGCAGCCTGTGCGGTGGCACTACTAACCCAGCAAGCAGAGCTCCAGACCCTGAGGGGAGAGGTGGCCCAGCTGAAAAGGAATGGAGGGTCTCACCGGAAGGGAGAAAGGCAGCCCTTGCTGATCCTCCACAAGCAGGTGAGTGAGGGAAAAAGGAGGGACATTGGGAAAAATGGGACTGGGGTAAACTGAATTCCTGTGCACTTGGCAGTTGGTTAATCTCTGCCTTTTCACGCCCCATTACACTCTGAACTCTTAACCCTAAAGTGGGGTATTGGGGAAGCACTCTGGTTTGGAAGCTAGGGGAAAGTCCAGGTTTTCGGTAAAAGCCCATCAAATCTAGCAGATGCTGGAATACAGCCATCAGACTGAATACTTGGAGCTAGAAAAGGAGTGTAGGAAATGTGGCTCAGAGGGAAGGTTGCTTGGGAGGGTGAGGAAGAAGTAGAAATTTGATGGGGCAGAACCCCTAGGATCAGTTTAATCCTGATTCTTTTTCTATAAGCAGGGCACTGATGAACTGAAAGAAGAGGAAACGTCTAGAAGAAAGAGAGAAGTCTTTACCCAAGAACATCAGCACAAGAGTGAGATTTCATGGGGAAGAAACAAAGACCATGGGGATTGGCCCCTGTTTTAAGGTTGAGGAGGAGTGTGGCTAGAATTCAGGGCAAAGAGGAGTAGGTTATACAGCTGAAAGCACCCCTTTTTCTCCCTTAGGAAAACGTTCAGTTCTTCACCTTATTCCTATTAACAGTACCTCCAGAGGTGAGTGTCATTTTGGATGATGGCTTAAGGAGGCAGGGAAAACTGGGGTCAAGGGGATGGATCCATGGGTCCCCAAGGGGAATGGAAGCTGTGGGTGGGAAAGCCTTAGTCAGGGTTAAATCATAGGGTGCAGAGTAGGGAGTCCTTCTGATAGCCACACCACCCCTTACCTCTAGAGGATTCTGATGTGACAGAGATAATGTGGGAGCCAGCACTGAGGCATGGTGGAGGTCTGGAACCACAAGGACATGTTGTTGGAGTCCGGGAGACTGGAATGTATCTCCTGTACAGCCAGGTAGCCTCTGAGATACTTTGATCCCTTAGCAGGGGTTCTTAACCTTTTTTTTTTTTTCGGTCATGTACCCCTTTGGCAGTTTGGTGAAGCCCTTGAAAGCCTTTCTCAGAATGTTTTAAATATATAAGGTAAAAATACATAGGATTACATAGGAAACCAATTATATTGAAATAAAATGTAATTTTTCCCCATTGATACCCTGGAATCTATCAGTTTAATAACCTTGTCCATAAAGGAACAAAATGCCATATGGACCCCTCATCCATGGCCTTATAAGGTCACATGTTCTCCATCACATTCCTCAGAATTCTTTGGTTCCCCTGGGATCAGAGTCAATATATCCCAGCCCCTCCTGCTCAGATCAGAACATAGAGGACCCTTCTTTTCTACCTCCCATATTATAGTAGAAGGTCTACCTCTTTCCCTTCTTGGATGACTCAGAAGCCACAAGGTACTGCTTCCCTTCTTTAATGGCCTTTTTGCTCTCCCTACTACTCCCTGATCTGCCAGGTGCTGTTTCATGATGTAACCTTCACCATGGGTCAGGTGGTGTATCGGGAGGGTCAAGGAAGGGAGATCCTATCCCGATGTGTCTGTAGCATGCCCTCCAACCTCCACCAGGCCTATAACAGCTGCTATACTGCAGGTGAGGGGGCAAAGATGAAGGCTCAGAAGGGTGAGCTGGGGCAAAACTCCTGGGTCTTAGGAGGGGTAGGGGGAGGAGGAATGCCCACAGTCAAGAGAAAAATGAGGATATCTGGGGTGTGTAACAGAAAACTGAAGACTGGAATGACTGCCTGAATCCCTGAAAAAGTAGGGGAAAAAGGGGTAAGAAAATAGGCTGGGAGATGGGATGCAGAGAGCCAAGGACTAAAGAGGAGGAAATTGATGATAAATTATCTGGGTCCTTGAAAGGGATATATGGTTCTCTGAAGTGTCTCTTCTTCTTTCTCCCCTTCTCAGGTGTGTTCCAGCTATACCAAGGTGACATTTTGAGTCTCACAATTCCTCGAGCAGGAGCCAAACTTGATCTCACTCCCCATGGCACTTTCCTGGGTTTGGTGAAACTCTGAGCATAGAGAAAAGGAGTGAAGATATACATACTCAAGACAGCCAAAGGGTAGACTAGGCAGAGGGCTAGTACTTTAGAACAGAGACTACTTCCTGATTTTGATGTAATTCTCTTCCTGTTTTCCTTCTATTCTTCCCTCTTTTCTCCCCACTCCTATGGACAAACTTGGGGTGGAAGGATAAAGGACCTGATCTCTTTATCACCTTCCGGACCTCAATTCTTTTTGGCATCCTACTCTCCAACCTAGCTTGTGCTACCGGAATTCTTCCACACCAGTACCGCCTAGTGGCAAGTTAGGGACATTACCCTCTTAGCTCACCTTAACTCTACAATACTTCACTCCAAAATATTAAATATATTCCCAGTTTCCCATAGTCCATAATTCCTGACTTCAGAGTCCATTTCTTACACATTTTATAACACCTCATTTTTCACCTGGTGCACCATTCTCAGATTTGTACATTCCATATTTCATTTTCCTTTATTGTAAAAGCATTTATTAAGCAGTTACACCCTTTGGACCTCAGTTTTCTCATCTGTAAAATGAAAGGACTGAATTGCATAACCTCAGAGATCTAAATCTGTGACCCTAAGATCTATGTGCATAAGGTTATATACACTTGGCAACATCAGAAAATTACAGAATTTAAAGCCAGAAGATTTTACAAATAAGGAAACTTGACTCCAAAGACACAGGTATTAAGTAGCCTTCTCCCTTTATCCTTCCATACCATATTCCTTCCCTTGCATACTTCATTTACGTTCTTTTCTTGCTCTTCTGGCATGATGCTTCATCCATATTGCTAACTAGACTTTACCTGACACTTGAATACAACTATGTGGACTTCACACCATATCTAAACCTTGCCTAGCCTCCACAGACATTCCTTGATGGGCTCTCCTTTTCTGTTTATCCATCACTCAGCCTAAATAAGTATCAAATAAAAGTGAATGTAGCAGTCAGCTCCGATTATTTCTCCCAATGCATCATGTGCTTCCTAACCCAGTTCCCCAATATTCCTCAACCCAATTATCTCCCTTGTCCTCATCCCTACATCCCATTAACTTCGGTTCTCAACCCCACCATATGTTCTATTCATTATGCCTCATTACTCTGCCCATTGGCCTGCAAAGTGCTTTACATGCAGTATCTCATTTGATTCCATAGCTTGATTCTCCTCCCTACAACCCTTTCTAGGCATACTTCGTAAAATCACTGGAAATCAAAACTGGAAAAAGACTGTAGGGATTATCTAGTCAATGGCTTCATTTGCCAGGAGGGCTGGTCCTTGCCTTCTTCTTCGGAAGGGCCTCTCCCTGTCATCTCCATTCATTCATTCAGTAAATAAGACATTTACTCAGAAGGCTGCTGGGCTCGACGCCACGTGTCCAGAGACCTCGCTGCCCGAATCGCTCCGTACTACGCCCAGTACAGGGAGGCCTTGGCTCTCTCTACACCTTCTCCTATCCTCATCTTCATCCTCTACAATCCCCCCCTACGTGGGGCCCCCCGCACGCTCCCACACTGACCCGTCCTGACCCCGGCGCCAGCCTCGAGCTGCGGCCGGGGCAGCTCCTTCCTTCGCCCAGTCACAGTTTGACCCCGAGGCTTGAGGCCGTGGGCGTCCCAGCACGATCCGCTCCCCTCCCCTCCCAGGAATCAGCGGTGGGGGGCCGGCGACAAGTGGGTGGGGGAGGGGAGTAAGAGGTGGGGACCTGTTGAAAAGTGGGCGGGGTCCAAGAAGCGCACGCGCAGTCCGGTGCCGGCGTGGGAGTGGACCGCTGCGGGTCGGAGAGTGCTTATAGGGAAGAAGGCGGGACCGGCCCCGTAGGGCAGGCTGGGTATCTTTTGAGAAGTGAAGGACTTTTGCGCTTGCGCGCCGGCGGGTGGTGACGTATTAATCTAGCGCCGTTTTAATCCCGGTGGCCCAGGGGCTCGCGGGAGGGGAGGGGAGGGGAGGGCACAGGAGGGGAGAGGAGAGTAGAGAAGAGGAGAGAAGGTGAGGGGAGGAGGGGGGCAAAGAGGAGGAGAAGGGGAGAAAAAGGGAAAAGAAGGAAAGGGGAAAGGTAGCGGTGGTGGGAGCGAAGGAGGCGGTGGCGGTTGCAAAGCCGAGGAACGTGAGCCCGAGCAGAGGAGGCGAAGCGCTAAGTCCCGTAGGCGACAGGAGGGAGAAGAAGCTGCCGCCGGGATGAGCCGGGGAGCCTGAGACGCCTGGGCCCACCTCCCTCTCCCTCCCTGTTACTCTTCCAGCTCCCCTTCCTGCTCCCTCGGTGAGGACCCGGCCGCGAGACCCTTCCCCTCTCAGAATGCTCAGCACTAACCACACCCGTGCTGGAGGGGCTCCTGCCTCTTTCCAGGGTGAGATGTGAGGTTGAGGAAAATCGAGGACAGGATCCCCCCCTCCGTTCCCATCCCCCGAAACCAGAATGGGTTCTCCCCCTCCTCCCCACTCCCCTCTCCTTACCCCACAGGAAGGGCCCTTCTTCCCCTCCCCTCAGGTAGAGCTCAACCAGCTTGACCTCCCCTCCCCCCACCTCTGTCTCCTGGCCCCCACCCAAGGCAGCGGACTTTTAGGGATTCTCAGTGTCCAGAAAATGAAACATTTTTTAGCTTTGAAAAAAAGGAGCTGGGGAAGGGGGGGAGTGATGGCGGCCTAGAACAGTGTGGAGCTTGAAGATGTAGCACTGGAGGCTTGGAGGGGATAATGAAAAGAGTGACGAAGGGAAGGGGTGGATATGGGAACTGGGAAGGCCGTTGTTTCCCTTGTTTCTATTTTATCTGCTCTATTAGATATTCTCCCTCTTGCCCCCGCGCCCCCCCCCATTTCGAGTTATTTCCTACCGTAGGTCCTGATTTCCTTTCTCTAGATCCATTCAAAATCCTCTCTCACTAAACCAGTTTTAGTATTTTATCCTGGCTCCAACTCCCTTTCCCATCCCAGAGAGAAGTAATTTTATCTCTTCAAAAGTTTCACATTTTACCTTTGCTTCTTGTATATAGTAGTCACCTGTTAACTTTGTTCTCTGTTCTATTCATCTTTTTGAGGATATTGACTTCCCCTTTTCTAAAGTCTCAGAGGTAGAATTTTTCAGCTCAGTCATTCCCTCAGAATTCTAGTCCTACCTATTAATGATGTTCACAGTATGCTTGAGAGACTATGCCTTATTGTTATTAAACAGCCAGAGAAATTTGTTCTTAGGTGAATAAGGGGAGTCCTAAGATCCTGTACCATTACCACCACTGTAATCCAGTAGCCTGAGCTAAGTTCCCCTTGTTTAAAGGGATAGGTTTAGGGGGGAGAAAGGATTGAGAAGAGGAAATGAAAGTTGAAGTAGAGAGGCCTTGTGATGGAAGGCTTTGAATGAGGGAACTTTCAAGAGTAAAACTTAGAATTTGCTCTTTCCAGAGGGACCCATATTTGAGGGAGAAAACCCTTGGGTAGAGGGGAAAGCTATTTCAGCAGTGGTGGCTTTAATCACTTTTTTGGAACAATATTTCGTATTTGAAATTAGTCTAGATAATTAATGATTAAATGTTGATTAGAAATCTCACTGCTAAGAAGACTCTACCTATTATGGAGATGTGAAGGACAGAGTAATCTTGAACCCTTGTCTGCTTTGTTATATGTGGAGTTTTGCCTCCCATATGTTTTGCTCTTGATTTTTCCCAGCTTTCTATCTCACAGGATTATGAGGAAGGTATTTTATTGTAAATTTTTTTTTTTTGGTGAGGCAATCATGGTTAAGTGACTTTCAGGGTCCCACAGCTACTGTCATGTGTCTGAGGCTGGATTTGAACTCAGGTCCTCCCGACTCCAAGGCTGGAGCTTTATCCACTGTGCCACCTAGCTGCTCCTATTTTATTGTAAATCTTAAACCACAACTCAAATACTAGTTATATAGGACAGAACACTTTTGTCTTTAAAGGAAATGTTAGCTGGGAAAGGCAAAGGCTATGGTACTAGATATCGGGATGCCTGGATAGTGACTTCTCTCTTTCTTCCTAAAGGTTACTTGAAGATGAAAGAGACCTTCCAAGGGAATCGGCCCTGGAGGCCAGCTACCCCTGGAACATCCCCCATCTTTCCATCTCCCCGTCGAGAGCGCCTCCGTTGGCCTCCCCCTCCCAAACCACTATTAAAGTCTGGTGGGGGGTTTGGGCCAGACACTGGGACCGGGACCACAGTTCCTGCCCATCGACTCCCTACCCCTCGGCCCTCATTTGATGCTTCAGCCAGTGAAGAGGATGATGAGGATGATGAAGAGGAGGAGGAGGAGGAGGAAGTGGTAGCCTGGGGACTTCCCTCAGGCTGGGGCCAGCTAGGAACACCTCAGCATCCCCGTCCTTCCCGTCCTCCCCGTAGAGCTTGTTCTCAGCGGCGCCGCCGAGCTATGAGAGCCTTTCGAATGCTGCTGTACTCTAAGAGCTCCTCCTTGACATTCCACTGGAAGCTGTGGGGTCGACTGAGGGGCCGGCGGCGGGGCCCTCCACACCCCAAGACCCTCCTCCCTCCCCGGGAAGGAGGAGCAGCCCCTCCTGCCACATCCCCCAGCTGCAGGCTTGACTCACCAAGGGGGCCTCCCCAAGCTGGGCTGGGGCTTTTAGGGGCACTGATGGCTGAAGAAGGGGTTAGGGGATCTCCCACATTACCCAGTGGGTCATCTCAGGAGGAAGATGGACATGAGTGGACCCAGAGGTCCCCCCAGCCTCTGGAAGCTGATACAGGTAGGTAGGGCAGAAGAGGATTAAACAGAGCAAGATATCATGAACTTGAGGGCTGGGAAACCAGAATGCCTGGAATGACCACTGAACAGTGGTGAGCCTCAGGGATAGGATGTTTGAATGAAAGAAAAGGATTTATTAAGCACTCAATTGAGTCTTGGATGAGTGGTGAGACTGGATGGGGCCTAGAGGATAGAAAAGCTGGATTCCAGCATAGGAATTAGAGATGGTAGGGAATGCAGTAATAACTCATGTTTTGCTTGGGTGAGACTTCTCATCCTTGGGCTTTGTTGTAGCTTTCCCCAATTCCTTTTTATTTCCTTTTCCTCATTCTTTTCCACTGGCTGTCCATCTTTGCTAATGACTTTGTTCTTCCAACCTGTAACTTCTTGGCTTTTCTCATTTTAGTCCACCTGCTTTCCCTATTGCTGTTTATACCAACCCTATCTCCCTTGCCCAGATTTTCTTCCTTACCATGCAGGTCTCCTTCCATGCTCTCTGCCTAATGGCTTTGGGGGAGCATCTGGACTGGATGGGGAGCTGGGCCTGGCACCCCCGGATGCTAGCATCCTTATCAGTAACGTATGCAGCATTGGAGACCGGACTGCCCAAGAGCTGTTCCAAGGATCTGAATTAGGACCTGCTGAGGAGCGTCCTGGCGAAAAGGCTGGGCAGCATAGTCCCCTTCGGGAGGAGCATGTGACCTGTGTACAGAGTAAGGATGTGCCCTGGTACCCTTGGGTTTAGACCAAGATGTCCTCTTTTTCTTCCAAGTTCTAGTGTTTTCCATGTTCCTTTCAGATTGGAGTCCAGAGGCCCAATCAACTTAGTCCCTTCTGCCCTTCTTTCCTAGGCATCCTAGATGAATTTCTTCAGACCTATGGCAGCCTCATTCCTCTTAGCACAGATGAAGTGGTAGAGAAACTGGAGGACATTTTCCAGCAAGAGTTCTCCACACCTTCTAGGTGAGTCTCAGGACGTGCCCTTTGCTGTATCACTAATTAGATTTTTAATGCTTCCAGATTAAATAGCTGTGTTTCTAGGTAGGTACTGGAAGAGGGGAAAGGTATTGTTTGTCATGGGGAGGGAGCCAAAGGCTGGGGGACATGATTCGTGGATCTCAGGGAACTGGGGATGGGGTGCTTGGGACCTTAAAGGGAATAGAACCTGCAGACAGTGTTGAAACAGATGTGGGAGGGAAGGGAAGAGACAGAGTGGTTTAGGAGGGAATCTTGTGTTG